GCGATAAAAATGCGCAGCACGAAATGGGCGGCTAACACGCTTATTCCATACTCCCAGGTGTGAACCCAGCCTTGAGCACAACTATAAAAGCAGGAAGTAGATCCTGAATAAGTAATAAGTGAATTTGACTTAGTCCATGTACATATATGATTACAAATTTTACACTCTTTAAAGCATTCACACAATTTGAAAAAGTAAATTATCCATTTTGAGGCTGTCTGATATCCTTTCCAAATTCCATCTGTGCCCTGCCTGCTGCAGGCTTTCACTGAAGCAAGCAGAATGGAACTCGGTGGTGCTGTCTGTATGGTTCATTGAACTCTATGGTGCTGCACTTCTGAAATATACATATGCATTTTGAAAACGGAGGCAAATTAATGGGATGTATGCCATTGCTGACTTCCAATTCTGCAAATGCTAGCTACCTGTCTGTCATGATGCCTTCTGTCTTCTATGCCTTGAGTCACTAACCCAGAACGCGTATGCAAATAAGATTTGACTTTCCTAATATGCAGACTTGTGCCTGTATCTCATTGCGTGCCAGCATAACAGCTAGGCAACTGGCATTTTTAACTGAAGATCAGCTTTGGAAGCCCCTACATTTCTGTTATTTCTATTTTAAATGCTCTGAGGTGGTAGCAGGGAGGTAAGCTGATGGCAGTGTAGAAATATTTGAACAGAAAATAAAAGTTAAAAAGTATTACAACCATCAGTACAGGTAGTACTACATTGAATTCTGAATCCCAAAGATATAGGTGTTTTCTATTGTTAGAATATTTAGCAAATAGTTCAGCTTTATTCACAAACTTCAATTAGTAAAAAAAATATATATAACCCTTTGTCTCAATATGCAGAAAAAAATCCATAAACAAATCACAGTATGAAACATATATCCCCTGCACAATATTTTCTTTTATCTTACATACAATATACTAAGTATGTCCATTGTAGCTTATGCAGACATAAGCAAGACCAAGAATAAAGCAGAAATCAGAGTTTGTGCAAATCAAAAGTGAACTGAGGTCATGCAAGAAAACTAGGTAGGCTATGGAGGTTAAACAGGATATTACGTGAGGTGCCTCCAAAAAAAGCATACTCTATACCAGGTGGAATACCCAGGGAGTGACTATCATTAACTGACACTAGAAATTTGAAAATGTCCCTAGCTTAGCAAGAGATTAATAAAACAAATCTGAGCAGTCAAACTTTATATACGTATGAGCAGAAATGAAAGGTGACCACATTTACAAGGCATTTAAATACGAAATCCAGTTTTGTTTAAACTAGTTCTTGCAGTGGGGCTAGCCCCACACTGCAAGGGTTAACTGCTTGTTTTGGTCTAATAGACCTGCATTAGACCTAAAACATCATGGGTCCTTAGACCCTCTGGAGTCCGGGGAAGAAGGGGCTGTGGGGAATGGTCTACCAGCCAGGCAGGACTAAGGATCAGGCGAGTATTTCATCTTTTTTTCCACCCCTAAACAAAACGAGCACTTAACCCTTGCTGTGTGGGCATAGCCGCACTCCAAGGGTTAATTGAAAAGAATCCTGGAATTCCTCTTCAGTTAATAATTAGTCAACTGAGTTCACTTATTCTTGATATCTAGGGTGTTCACATTCTTGATACCTCGTTTTTTCACATTCTTGACACCTCGGGTGTTCACACAGATTCAGTGTAGGATAACTTCTAAGGATAACTAGTATTTTCCAAAAATCTCTTTGCCTGTACTGAACTTTTTGTAGGGTAGAACATTTTGCTTTTGGAGAACAATTTGGGGAATTACACATTACTTTAATTAGAAATCAGGTTGTCCCAGTTCTAGGATTTGACATGTTTACTGCAGGTTTTATGATGAATTAGGTTAAAAATCTGGATGTTGGTAATGCTATTGATTTGTAATATATTTTTATTTTTCTAAAGCATTCAGTACAGTTCCTTATAGTAGCTTGGTACAGAAGTTTGGGATATAAGGATTAGTAGACAATATTTGCACATGTTGCAACAAACTGGTTAAAAGAAGACAAAGTGTAGTCAATAACAGGGGGTATTCTTAGTGGGCTAACGCTAACAGTTGTGTGATATGATATATTGAAGAGTATTTAATAATGTAAAAATGTAGCAGTGCAACGGCAAGCTTTTTACAGCCATTGTTAAGAATGACTGTGTTGACTATGTTTTATTAACAGTAGTTGAGCTTTACCTGTCAACGAGCTTTAGGGTCAATTAATTAAGTAATTTTTACTGTATTATTTTATCTCAATTTTTTCTATCAAAGTGTTCAGTTTACATACTTAAATATACAGGTTTTCAATTATTTGTTGTGTAAACCATTACTTCTACTCCCAAAAAAGGCCCTGTTTTCTGCTTTCTTCAATAGACACTTCACAGAATTTCGCAATTAACACCAACCATAAGAGAAGTATAGGGGTCTTTGTCACTGGCCTTTTTCTGAAAATAATTGTTGCCTGGCTGGATTTAATATTTTGAGTCTTAAATCTCAATGGATGCTCTAAATGAGTGTCAGAAAAGTCTCAGCAATCCTTATCTACATGCTTTTTTCCAAGTCAGTGGAATTGATTTACTAACGGCAAATGGGCTGTTCACTTTGCAAGGGAATTCTCACTTTGCACTGTAAGTTTCCCCTTAGCTTAGTGAAAGAGGTGCTGACTTCCATCATCCAAACAATTAGTTTCTTTGCACGTGATTGGGTATTCTTGCCAAAGTGAAAGTTTACCACATTTGCTAAGCTAAGGAGAAACTTCCACTGCAAAGTGCAAATATTTTTACAAAGCGAATAGCCTATTTGCATTCAATAAAGTTGGCCAGGAAACTAACACTTTCAAAAAGTAAGGTTGACAATGGCAGCCTTCTAATGAAGGGTATACTTAAATGTGCTGTTCAATAACTTTTGTGAGAAGATTTTTACATACTGAATTACATGTGATTGTTGCAATTAAATGGTAACCATATGATAAAACAATTTAGAGGGAACAGCCCGTTTGGGGATGGCTTTCCTCTATTGCAGGAAAATATTATGAATGAGGACTTCCTGTTGTACAGCATAAGTAGTGTTTCTTTTCTGTTGAGAATGTTGAATGCATTAGATACCCCAGGATGCTATGCTGGTAGCTTTTATCAGATTTTGGAGCAGTGAAATATAACAACACTGCATACATTATGCTTTAGTGAATGAACTCTTTTTTTTCTTCTAGAAAGTAAGGTGCGTTATAATATGTATGTAGTTATTGTAATCCTGTACACTTTTAAAACTGCTATAATTTATAGGCTTGCAGGACTGGTGTCATGATTCCTTGATGTCTTCTCTGCCTGGCTCCCTACTTTCTATCCTCTTAAATACCCTTTATCATTCTTGCCAACCTATCCTGATCTTTTCACCTAACAAAATAGCCACACACTCCTCACACTGATGGCAACACCATTGACCTTGTATTCTCCCACTGTGAAACGAAATCCTTGCAAGACTTTACCCTGTATGATTCTGCCCTCCAGGTTGCCAAACTGACTTGTTACATCACTTTAATTAACAATCCCTCACTCAAGTCCTCATAAATCCTTTTCTCTCTTTAATTCTCTACTTCCTCTCTCCACCTCTACCGACCAACTAATTTATTTTCCAGGATATTGCTAATGTTTTGAAAAACAAGATAAGAAAGTCAAGAAATCTGCACTGTCCACATATCTACCCCTATTAACATACCATGTCTACCACCACTTTCAATATTTTTTTAACCCTGTTGCTACAGAGCAGGTTGCTAAACTTTTCTCTGACACCCACCTAGCCATCTGGCCCCTGGACCCTGTTCCCTCACAACTACTCTGGTCACCCTCTTGCTCTAGTTTACATTCTCTAACCCACATCTTCAATCTCTTCTTCTCTACTGGTATCTTTACAAAAAACCCACATTAGACCCTACCAGCCTGAACAACTTAAGCCCCATCTCTTAGCTCCTATTTATTAACACTCAGCTGAAACTGCCCTTACTCACTAATGACTTACTAACTGCTAAAATCAATGGCTACGACTCCGTGCACATACTATAAGACCTTACTGCTTCCTTTGATACAGTTGACCAGCCACTCCTCCTAACAAAACTTGACTTCTTATGCCTCCAAGATTCTCCTCTTTCCTAATTTTCCGTCTACCTATCTCAGCACTCCTTCAATGTCGCCTACATTTCAACCTCATCCTCTCCTCTTCCCCTTTAATAGGGATTCCCCAAGGCTCTGTCCTTAGACGCGTTCTATTCTGTATTTACACCTTCTCCCCTGGTCACCTGATAGCTTCCCATGGCTTTTAATACCATCGCTTTCTGATGACATATTGATAAGTGTCTGCCTCATTTCTCTGCCAATCCGTCCACTGGCTTCCCGTTTTGACCAAGAAATAAAATTAAAAATATCGGCAACAGCTGAAAAAGCCACCCACAACTCTGCCCTGAACATCACCAACCTAATATCACTTAGTCTCAAAATATCACCCAAAGCATTCTCTTCATGCCCACTAAGAACTCCTGCTATTTAGCTCTCTCGTCACCTCCTCCCATGCTCACCTCCAGGATGTCTCCAAAGCAATTTCCATCTTCCGAAATTCTCTTCCCTAATCTCTCAGGCTATCTTTTACACTTTCCGCCTTAAGGCAATCCATGAAAACTCTTAAACGTAGCCTATGTGACTTCTCCCTAAGATCTGAATTTTTGCTTTCTTCATCAACTCATCCCCTTTCAACTTTTAATTTTGTATCACTTGCCCCTCTCTTTTTATTGTAAGCTCCCATGAGCAGGGCCCTCCTAACCCCCTTGTATTGTTTTGTAACTTTACCGTCTCCCTTTATTTTGTAAAGTCCTGCACAAACTGTTGGCACTATATAAATCCTGCATACTACTACTACTACTACTACTACTACTACTACTACTACTACTACTACTAATAGTAATAATAATACAACTTTGTTTAACAATATTCTATTTTTCCCATACAGGAACCTTTTGGACAGAGTAATATCAGGATGCAGTACATTTTAATTGGACTGTAGAAATACACAATTTTTGTTCTTAATTTTTTTTTCTAATACAAACGTTTAAACAACTGGTGCTAGTCTCGAGATTATTTGTCAGATCATCACTGCAGTTTTCATTTTAGTACACTACAATATTGTTTGGTGTTCATCACAGATTAATGTATATGTTTTTTTAAAGGTTCACTTCACTACTTCAGAGAATAATCTGCTAAGTTATCCTCAAGATTACTGTTTACCGTGTATTTTCTCTAAGCACATATTTTCAGTTACTATTAGGAATGAGTGAATCTGCTCTGGTTCTATTTGTGGGGGATTCATAGAATCCTGTCTGAAATGTGTAAAACCTGAACAGCAAGTTGCATCAAAGTCTATGCGGGGTTAGGGGGATCCTGCTGTTAAATTCCGACAATTTTGGGGGCTAATAGGCAATTTATTGTCAAAAAAAGGCATAGGGAGCTGGGCAATGCCATTGAAGACATTTAAAAAAGATAACCCACATTATGCTGAGCAGGGTCAAGTGGGGACTTAAACATCTGCAGAATTCTCCTATACCCACTCTGCTCTCTCCAGCAGCATCCCCCCCCAAGGTGGGTGTCTCTTCCCTAATTACCCCCATACACAGTGTCTTAAAGGAGAACTATGGGGTAACCTTTTTTCCCATAGTTCTCTTCAGGATCACGGGAGGACATATACCAATGTACTCACGCCATAGATCTCCTTTAATGCCAGCTTGGTAAAATTTCTGGCTTTGCATTCCCTGTTTCAGAAGTGGCCTGTGCTACACCACAGTGGCAAGTACATATTTGCAATAATCTTGCCCAGAAAGCCATCCCTTACCTTCACTAGTATGTGGACCATAACATAGATTGTGGTCGCTGTTAATGGACCACAATGCCAGGACCACAGTACACATGACCACAGATGCTTGGTCAAGTAAGCATATGCAGGGACACTACTAAGCCTTCATGGCACGCAGGGTCAATTTTCTAACAGCTGAGAAAGATAAAGGATGGGGCACACTGCTGGTGGTGCTGCCATGTGTCTTTTTCCTGATGTTCATGGACTCTTTCCCTGATGACATCTGTACAGTCATCTATTTTTGCAGATCGCACTGGACCGGAACGCAGGCACTGGTGTGCCATGCATTCTGGTGCAGGTGATTGCACTGCAGGCAGGGGGCGTGGCTGCATACCATTGACTTCAACACACTGCCACGCCCCTGAATGCAGGAAGTCGGCCAGAATGCAATACAGTGCGTTCCAGAAGCTGACCACTCTGGGACCCACTGTTTATGGTGTGAACCGGCCCTAAGGGCTATAGTTCTGGTATTTTTTTAAATCAGTGTTTGGGGATATGGCAGGGGCATGTGGAGTGAGGTGTGTGGTGTTTTGGGTGCACATTGTTTTTACATTGTTTTTTCAAAGGATAAAGTGAGTTGATGTGAAAACAGCTCTTGAACAGACTGTCAACAACAACTTACTGATGAACTCTACACACCCAAAGCTAAAAGTTAAAATTAAAAAAGGGAAAAGACCCCAATTAATAGAAAAAAAGTTAAGGTGTTGCCAACTGAAGACTTGGCTATCAATCAGTTGTTGTGGACAGACATTGATCTTGAAATGGATTTTTGGGCATACAGATCTCTGTACACAGACAGGGCACATAAGAAAATGTACCCTGCCACTGAAATTCAAAGAACTAGAGGTTAACCAAACCTCTAACTATAAGATTTAACATGGTAATATGGTAATAAAGCCTATTTTTATTTTAACCAATTCTCAGTTATTGAAGATGTGCACTCTTTTGCTACCTACATGATATTCACTAAGGGCTTATGTTTACCTTAACAGATCTGTAAGTGCCTACAAGCCCTACACTAACCTCTCCCTTTGCAATTTATCAGTAGCACTCTCTAAGCTTTACCTATCACAGCTAAAGCACATTGTCAGTATGGTTGCTGTGGCCTTTTATAGTGAAGAGACTGCCTTATCCAAAAGCTGCCTCTTTGGCCCTTGTAAGACAACTGACCAAGGATCAAAGGCCAGGCAGTGAATTATGGTTACAAAGAATCCAGTCTGATGAATTTCTGCATTAGTTTGCCAGGACTGTGAACCTCAAGCATGCAGGGTTCGCTTCAAACCCCTGTTGGCGGCAAAGCTGAACCTCATCCCTAGTTATGATGGCAACAATTATATTTTTGATGTGACCTTGGAAATTCTGCACTTTTTCATCTTTTTGATTTTGTCTTATGTATAGATATTTGTAGGTTAGCTAGTAGGCTGAGCCCTCTATGGCTGTGTGCAATTAATTTGCCTCTCTCTATCAACTGTTGAGATTTTAGCCACATAGGCAGTGCACTGGTTTCTGATTTAGGGACTTATAGACCTGCACTATGAGAAGAAGCAGTAAAGCTCAAAAATTGTGTAGCACTGCAAAGAAAACAACAACTACATCTGTAATGAGAAGATTTTGCTGCCCCATGATACACTATATTACCAAAAGTATTGGGACACCCCTCCAAATCATTGGATTCAGGTGTCCCGAGAAATTTCCTTGCTACTAAATATTCCGCGGTCAACTGTTAGTGGTATTATAACAAAGTGGAAGCAACTGGGAACAACAACAAATCAGCCACGAAGTGGTAGGCCACGTAAAATGACAGAGCAGGGTCAGCACATGCTGTAGTGCACAGTGCGCAGAAGTTGCCAATTTCCTTCAGAGTCAATAGCTACAGAAACAAACAAAAGGTTCAAACCGACTTTCAAGTGAAGGCAGTTCAAGGGTTAACTCAGGATGGGGGCAAACCACAATGGTGGAAATTTAGAAAATGCTTTATTCTAATAAATAATGCGGAATACACACAGCCAACAGCTTGCTGTCAACTAATTAAAACCAATGACAATTCAAGCTGACTATAAATGAATTAGTGATTGCTAGGATATATGAACCCTTAATTTGCTAAACATACAAATATCCTCATTGTAAGTAACAGCTTGCAGTTTGGATCTGGACACTCCAGTATACCTAGAGTATATTGATCTGACATAGGGTATTGATTTCATAAGTATCTCATTGGACCAAACAAACATTCAGAGATGATTTGAGGCTCTACAGCTGAGTAATGCACAAATAAGCTACATTTTTGTTAATAGTTAAGGTACTTGAATGCATTTTTGAGATTTAACTCCTGTTTTTAGTGTCACTTTAAGTCTTTGTTTGCATTAAGAGTTTATATTAATCAATAGTTAATATGCTTTGAAGCTGTATTTTTTATAAGGCTTTGTGGACCAAAACTTAGATTTACAAAGCTGTTATGCAATAGTTTTATGAAACCATACAGGTTTTTAATTAGATATGATATCATGTTTTCTTTTAGTATTTTAATACATGGAATATGCAAATGTTTAAAATTGGAAAAGTAAGGTTTTGAATCACTCATACCTGTTTACACACTATTCAAAACCAAAATGTAAACGTTTTTTGGGTGTCACTTAACAATACCACTACATTGGACCTACAGTTTGTTCGCAAGTAATGGCACTTTGTTTTTAGTAGTCTGAAAGTTTGAATACTAAAAGTATAGTACAGTATAGTACACATTTTGAAAGCTCAATTTCCCAGCAGTTTCTAGAAACTTATTAAATATGTGTAAGGCTTAATTTTAGGTCCACCCTGTTTACAAAGACATATAATTTCTTGGGTATACTAACATAGATAGAAGAAAATAAGTAATTATTTAGTCATTATTTATTAAAGCTATTCAGCTGTGAATCATGATTGCATGCATATTGTATCTGTTTGCTGTTCATCTGATCACAATTTTTTCAGTGACTTCCATGAAATTGTAGTTAATAACTTATTAATTAGAAAGCCTTTTATTGCATGTATCCCTTTGGAAATGGCATCTCTGAAAAGAGTAGTAGATAAAAAATCAGATATTGTTCTTCCTCTAAGTCATATCTTTCAAGTCATCTGTCATGCCACAGTGTTAAACCACGCATTTTGCAACTATCTTTGTTAATTAAGTGGACAGTCATTTAATTAACTAAGATCCTCAATGCCACTATGCTCTTCATTCATTACACATATCTTTAAAGGCTTCAGTTTTTTTCAAGCATACTTCTGTTTATCATTTTAAACTGTATGATATGCATATGTAGTGCCTTTGTTTTTGGAATGTGATTGTTCAGAGTTAATAACTGCATAAACAACATCAATGTTCACCGTTAAAGGGAATCATCTGCTTTCACATTCTTGGTCCACTGAAACATGGCTGATGGCATTGCCAACGAGCCAATGAATTTGAGCAACTTTGTTATGATTCGCAATGTTCCCCTCATTCATTAGCTTGTTAGCAATGGTGTTTTCCGCCGATTTTTCCCAAAATAATCTGTCGATCAGTTGGCGACCATTTTTGATAATGTCAAGGCCACAGTTTTTGGGGACATCACAAAGCTATCATCAATGTCAAAAATAGGAGGTATGTATTCCTTATTTAAAATATGTATTTGTGGTGCAGTGTTTGTGTTCAGCTGTTAAGTTTAGTACTAAAATATTTGTAAAATAAACTTTGTGTACCATTTAATTGCCTACAGTGGTTACCATACTGTGTAAAGAGCAGTGATATTCACATGTCTATAGTAGCCAATCATGAAATGGCTTTTATTAGTAAATCCACTTTACACCACTATAATACTTTTTCATGAATTACTATACAGAACCGCCATTTATACAGTGTTATTATAATGACCTATTTTTGTAAATTGTATTAATGTTTGGGTTATCTAGTAACTATTTTCTAGATCCCACTATGACAGCCTACATTGTACGTAAGTAATTGGTACATTAAAAGGACAGCTACCACTAAATGTAAAGCCTGCTGCTAATATAGTAGAAAATGTTTGGCATTAAAGATAATATCTAAACAGAGTTTTGTAACTTTTGAATTGTAAGGACTAACCACACTTTGTGATCTAATACTGGCTTAGGCCTGTGTTATTGAAAAAGTTTATTGAAGATCATATACCAGATACCACATGATTCCGACAGATTATGTTTGGTATGTTAATTTCAACAGTTAAACTGTTATTGTTAACTGAAATATGCTTTAAGATTTTTAAATAGCAGCAGGGTTTAAGTTTAGATGGGGCTAACCTTTACTATTGCTTACTAATAATTTATGCATTGCTTATTGGTTATTGATTTTTATCTATTAATGATAACCCTAAACTGTAATTGCATAGGTCATACCAATGATGCCAATTATCAGCAAACTGAAGTCAGGGCACAGTAAAACCAAATCCCTTCTCTAGTGGAAGTGAAGGGAATAGACATGTTTGTTTTTTAGGATAATACCAGTTTTAAAGTGCTTAATCAGTTTCATGTTTAAAGTTAATGTTCTGAATTTGTTAGGCTTATAATTCCAGGAAAGATCCTTCACTTTAAAATAAATCTGTTTATTAGGCTTCACAGAAAGATTTCACTTGTTTTAACATTTTAACATTTTAATATGAGTTATCTGGGCACTCCTACTCATTAGGATATCTGCAGGTAAATGAACACTTGAACTGCACAGAAAACGTGCAATGGGCTTGATTTGCTAAAGGCAAATAGGTTGTTTACTTTGCAAGATAAATTTGCTAATTGTGAGGGAATTTTATTTTAGCTTAGTGAATGTGGTGAAAAGTCACTTTGCAAAGAATACCCACCCATGACTAAGGAAAATGTAAAGAAAAACAGTATTTTTACTTGCACATAATTGGATGATGGAAGCCAGCAGCACTTCACGTAAATCATGAAGTTAAGGGGAAATTCCCTTGCAAAGTAAATCGTATGGGTATATAGTGGGGCTTATGTGCGGTTCACTTGCTCCCCTTACCAATTTACCACATTGTGAATAACAATGTAAAAAAATGAATGGCACCAGGTTTAAAAAATCTTTATTTGAAATATAACAAACTCTTTCCCTACTAAGCAGTTGATTTCATTTTTTTATTATATAAGTCTAAGGGGTTCTTTATATCTCTCTCTTGCTGGCTTTACCAAATATTAAAAAACCCTATCAAGGGTTAAAGAAGAACTCCAGGCAAATGACAAATAAACCCTTGCAGTGGGGCTTTCCCTGCACTACAAGGGTTAAGTGATCATTTTAGTATAGGGTCTTAAATAGGAAATATATACTCATCCGATCCTTGATCCTGCCTGGCTGCAAGGCTGCCCCGCAGCCTCTTCTCCCCTGGGCTCCGGTGCATTAAGCCTCACTGATGTCCTCACGTTTAGTAAAAGTCTATTGACTTGCATTGGACGTGAGGACATCAAGGGACATACCACAGCCAGAGCACTGCAGGATCGAGCATCGGGTGAATACATATTTTTTATTTTAGACCCTAGACTGAAACAATCATTTAACCCTTGTAATGTGCTAGCCCCAGAGCAAGGGTTAATTAGTAATTTGCCCAGAGTTCTTTACATTTATAAAGTAAACTCTCTCACATTAAAAGTGAGAAAAGATCAGTTGCATTAGTGGCAGAGAAGTTAAGTTATTTTTTAAAGCAACAGAGTCACTTTAATAAATCTAAGCTAATCAGATGATTCTTTTATAGTCAGTTGTTTAGTTTTCTTAATTTAGGATAGGTATGACTTCATAGTTCACAAGTACGATGGAAGTCTGAATGCGTGTGTATCATAATAAATAAACCATTTCTGTTCTTTAGACCGTTTCCTCATGCGTTAGCACCCAAGCCTTGCATTTTATTAAACAGGTGTAACTTATTTGTTCCATGTTCTTTACAATTTCACTGGATCCCAGTTCATATTGTATACATACTTATAAGATGAAAGCAGTGTGTGTGTGCATATTGTATTTAAGAAAGACATTTTGTTGTTTGGATTGCTTCCTAATGCCCAGCCATCATTTATTATCATTAAGTTGTTTCAGGACCCAAGCCAATGTTACATTACAGTTACCAAGAGTAACTTATTTGTGCCATGTTCTTTGCAACTTCCCTGGGAACAATCATGTTTATTATTTGTTACATTATACTGCATAAATCGCCTAAGAGTGGCAGCATTATTGGTATGGCAATATTAATATATCAAGGGATTTTGATTCTGCTTTGCTTTAAATTGAATTATAACTGCAACTGTTGGAGTGGTAGGATGGGATTTAGCATTTGGTTTTCCAATGTTCCAATTAATATGTCCCTGTGTTGCTAGGTAAACTTGTGTGTATAATTTAAAGCTCAGCTGCAGTCAAAACTTTTTTTTGGGGGGAGGGGTTGATTTTATTGCTGTATGTGTCGCCATTGTAGAGATTGTACAGATTTAACAGCCATTTGTAATTCGATTTTTGTTTTGTCCTGCCCTACTTAAAGCTGAACTTCAGCCTTACGTTTTTATTCCACAATTGTAGCAAGTCCTCTCCTGTGTTAAAACTGAGTGCTCTAAATTCCTCTTCGTCTCCACAATCTAATCTTTTGAAGCTGCAGCCTTCTTGAGCCTTTCTGAATTTTATTTAAAATAACACATCCCCAGCATCCCTTTAGACATGTCTGCAACCAGTCAACCAGTCAGCTAAATGCAAAGTCTTTAGTAACCTGTGGCCAGCAGGGGTAAGCACATCTAAAGAGATCCTGAGGATGTGTTCTTTCATACAATTATTTTGAAACATCCAAGGCAAAAAGTTGTAACGTTTACAGAAGCCTGACAGCCCCGCCCACCAAGAAGCAGCAGACAGACCCAGTGATGACATCACAGGGTCTCAAAACTGGCATTTCTTTCATACAGTAAACTTCCGCTTTAAATTCTGTCCCTCAGCATCTAAGGCCTTTACTATTTTCAGAAAACATAGTGACTATGGGGTGAATACTGAATGACTGATGTCTTTATTTAGAAAGCTATTATATTCTGACTGTGTGTGAATATTAGTTGGAAGTAAAGATCTTGTGGTTTGACAAAAAAAAATGTAATGTTTGCATAAAAAGAATACAGCATGTATGTCTGTAGTGCTGCAATTAAACATTGTTGTAGAGATGACCTTTTAGCTACGCCTGACATTTCCTATGTACAGAAAAGGAAACATTTGTCGCAGTGCTCAACTATTGTAGCTCACACAGCAGGCAAAATTACAGCTGACAGAATTGTCTAGTTTTCTAGGCCAGAGCTGAGGTAGAGATAGTGACTCACTAGATTTCAGCCTAGTTATATGTGAATGGAAGTAAGGAAAACAAATTACCTTACAGCAAAAAGATGTAAAAATAATGACCATGTGTACCAGAGGAATGCCTGGTGAATGGGTCAGACATACCCACAAGGGAGATTGAAAAAAACTATTTATAACATCAGAACTGTCAGTTAATTTTAAGCAGTAACATTTTAATTTAGTAATCTGATGTGTATTTGTGTGTATGTTTGTGTATGCATGTTCTCAAAACAAAAACTTGCTATATTATTCCCATTATATCAGAGTGGTGCATGAACTCAGGTACTGCGCTGGACCATTGTGTTAATACCAGATTATTGAGATGTATATAAATACCATATTTTTGTTGATTGTTAAAACGTTAAAAAAAATACGTTGCATTGTTCTTGTTCTTTTGACTATGAAAATTGTGTACTAGATGTAAAGGTTACATATGGTCTTGTTATGTACACTTTGTATATATTTTGCATCTGAGTAACCATATGTAAACAAAGAGTTAGATAAAGTCATAACACTCATAAGAAGGAGATTAATAATGTTTTCTTTCCTGTTACAGTATGTGTATTGTATACACAAGGTATTGGAAACAAGGAATGGAGAGAGGTAAGTTTTGATTTTATTTCTACCATTATGGGTTAAATTGTATATGAAAAGTTTTCAGTTTTTGACTTTTATTTATAAGCAATGATTAAAACAGATAGGGAGTGTCTTGAAAATGGAAATGAACACAAAGCACAGTATGTTAATTTTCAAATGAACACTGTTGAACTTAAAGTCAGGTAGATACTGTATAACGTATGAGGGGTAATAATCAGTACTACCTGGTTATCTGTGCTTGTAAAATAAAAATCAGATATAAAAAAAATAAAAGTTGACATAAGAAGGCAGAAAAGGCACTATACCGAACCAAGAACTGCAAGGGTTAAGGGATAATGGGATTTTTTAGCAAACTTTAGCAAAACACAGCTAAAAACCTTTCTGAATCCTGTGTTCTGATCTTCCTATTTAATATTTCAAAGTATAAGCTTTTAGCTGCACCACCTGGGCAGAGCCACCAGTGCCTGTTCCATTATTCACCAACTTCTGATCAAGCAGTTGATGTTTGTGCCATGCTGATGATGGGGACCCACATTAGGTAATAATGGCAGTCCTCCAGTACATACTAAAATTGACATACCCTTTAAGTCAGGCTTAATTTACAGCAGTGGTTTCAGTGCTACTGCAGTTAATTCTTTTTTCTCTATAAACATATATCAACTACAGAGTAATCACTTATAGAGCTTGATTTACTAAAGGCAAATAGGCTGTTCACTTTGCAAGAGAATTAGCATTTACGTGTGAATTTCCCTTAGTTTAGATGAATGTGATAAAAACTCACTTTGCAAAGAATACCCAAGTACGTGCAGGAAAATAAAAGTTTTTTTGCTTGCACATGATTGGATGATGGAAGTCAGCACAGATTCACATAATGCACTAAGCTGAGTGTCTGTTTACTGAACAAGGATGCAATGATAATTTAGTCACTTCTTGGTTAAATATGTTTCTGATATTTTTTGTTTTATTATTAACAACATTAAAGAAATGAAATCAGGCAATGTCAATGGTGTGATTGTGATTGATACATGCCAAAATATTTCACTCTTTAGCAATGGCACTGTGGGAGGAATTGAAAAGAAATAAGATGTTCATTATTATAAAAAGTTATATATAAGTTATCTCAGCACAGTGGACAGTATCATTTGAAAGCAAAACTCTCACATGGTGTGTAAGCAGGGAAGTCTGTTTTGTGCTGATCTTTACCGCAGCGCTGAATACTGAAAAATGGCCTGGATGGGAAGGGGGTTTAACACCGCGGATGTCAACTGGTTAATGCGTTGAGGGCCTTTCAGTATTTTTGGCACATCTACATATTTTTCCCGTTGTTCAAATTTCAGGTTAATCAGTACTTTCTAGGCTTACTTAAGCTTCTTACTGCCAGTTTCTTTGTTAGACGTGTTCTTTTTTCTCCTTCACACAGTCTTTTAATTTAAAATGAGCATTGATACATTCAAATTATTGTTCATATAATTTTTGCACTATTATTATTCATTACTAGTATTCTATTAAATTAACTCAGAAGATACAATAATTATTCCACCTTAGATTTTAAAAATGGAAGACGAAAAGCAACTGAATTTTTTTATTTCACTTTTTATGTATGGAATAAAGTAGTGTGCCTGAGGGTGACACATGAAGTCACATTGCAGCTCGTAAGATTTAACATTCACTCACTCCATAGTTGATGATGGACACGCTAACTCTGGACTCAAAATGTGTGAATCTACCTTGCTGTTTGTTTCAGTGCTAGTTGAGTTTTGTAAGTTAAAGTAAAGGTTAAACAATGTATTACTTACACTTGTGCAAAGAAAAGAAATCAAATGTTTTACACCTTTTTTCTCTATATATACTGAAAAAAGATAGTATACTGTATATTGATTAAAAAATATGACTTTGCTAGATAAAACCAATGGGGGACGTAGGCTCAACATTAACCACTTGGGTCCCCCTTTTCTCCCTAAACCCCCTTAAGCCCCAGAGTGTTATTTCCATGCATGATATCTTTTTTTTGTCTACCCCAAAGTATGACACAATTACTTTTACAGGACAGATTGGGCTTTAATTTGGTAGCCAATTTAAATACATATATTTTATTTTCTTGGTTTTTATTTGAAAATAAATAGTAAAAAATTTGAAAAAAAAATAATTTTCCTTTAATTTCCCCAACACACTTACACAATTTGTTGATTATGTGTTATCCCCAAAACATAATCAACAAAGTCTACTGACTACAATTACAGTATATCGCATTAGTGTGACTTTTATGTAACATAGCAGAGATATATATTCCCCTTTTGGTGCTACATTGCAATACACTTAGAAGGAAGAAAAAAGGTTTGCTTAAATTGGTGGCGTGACATTAGAATAAGATTAGGTTGGGTTGACGTGGGCACAATTAGTTAAATGGGGACTTTTTGACAGGTTTGTAATTGCTAAAAATTGTAATGTTTTTTTCTATTTTTGTGTAAATTTGTTTGGGCTCTGGAGGTCAGTGGAGACCAGATCCAGCCCACTCCTTCCCATGCAGCTGTAGAGGAACAGATCACTTCTAATAGTAATATATTTTTGCCTGCAATCAGCCAGCAATAGATCGCTATAAAGCTATAACAGTGATCTATTACTACAAGGAGGTGCTTGCGTAATCTTAGTAAGTGATGTGACACTACCCTTCTGATGTAAACATTCGCTTCTACAGTACGCTCCTATGGAGCCAGGTTAACATCTCTTAGTTGAGTGTAGGCGGGATAGTTATCATTAAGGGTCATTTGCAGATGGTCCTCAAATCATAGTTATTGGTATCTGGTTGCAGTATTTTGCATCTTCTAAAACAGCAACCTAATCAAATCAAAGCATCCTCACTTTAAGTTCCTGACAGTTTTCTAGATAATGTTGTGATCATTTATTGCCTTACCAATTTGATCTTGTACATAGATAGAAGGGCCAGTTGACTAAAATGTGTTTTAAACTATTATTTTAACTCAACATTTTCTTACCAAAATGACCAATTTACAAACTCAGACATGACATAAGTGTGTTATTGGTATTTTGTTCACTTAAAATGGATGTTTAACTATTGAATACCTTTATTTCTCATTAACTGACACTTTAGCTTTACCTCAGATGGCTTGAGTTTCTGCTGTCCACAATAGACATCCTTATGAAGCTTTGCAATTATCACCAGTCTGAATCTAGTGGTATTTTAAGGAGTGACAACTTATGTAACAATCTTTATTAATTGATCCCACTGGCCAGTTAGTATGCCTAGACAGCTCAGATGTAAACAGTTGACATTTCAAAACTGGTGGCTGTGGCAAACTGTAAAACAAATGCTGTATGTATGTTTAAAGCTAATCCCTGTGATGAGACATTGAAGGGGCAGCTGCACTCTGTTAGAGTTCTAGTGCTTCCTTTCCCAAGTGTAGCTGTGCAGTGACTTACAAGAGGCTGGTTCCAAGACAGAAGCTAGTTGTATGTAAAATTAATTTAGTTCTTTTTACATATTTATATACTCCCTTTAAAGTAGAACTGAAGCCAAAGCGGTTTCTTTTTTAGTTTTTGGATAGAGTAAGGGAGGGTTATAACCCTTGTCAGCTTTTTTTGCCTACTGTGTCTCACTGGGGAGATTTACCTTCACTTCCTGTCCAATATCCACAACAGGAAGTGATAGGAAATCCCTCCAAAGCGAGCGACATCCCCAGTGGTCAGTAGGGTCACCAGATCTAGTGTCCCCATTGGAAGATTTCTCATCTATTCCTGTTCTGATGGCAATCCAAAACTTGGGATTTTCTTTCACTTTCTATTTAAGTGATAATGGTAATTAGGACAAAGAGAGACTGAATCTCCCTAATGGGGACACAGGCAGCACTAAAAACATTACAGGTGTTCTAATCCTTCTCTACTCTATCCAAAACTAAAAGAAAGTTTTGCTTAATTTGCAATTGTATGTTTTCCAGCTCTAATGTGAGAATAGTTAAGTATTACTGGTGCTTTAACTTGTTGTAGATGTGCAATATTCTGTGAGCATAATTAAAACAAGGTTTTCTGTTTTGGGACAAAAAATAGCAATAAATAAAACCAGCTTGGGTAGTTTGGACATCTGAATTGTAGTGATGACTCAATCGGTCCACACTGTGATAAAATATCCCGTTAAATCTTTGAATGTTAACTAATAATGAAACTAAGTAGGCTTTTAAAGCATTATTTCAAGTATGCACATTGTCATCTATGCACTCTTACAAAAGGTTTTAATATTAGCTTATGGGTATTTTTTTAAATGCCTGCTGTGGTCTATAAGTTGGTCAATGTACAGTTTATCTTCACATTTTCCAGTTAGGGAATGACAACTTAAACACAAATCAATATCATTTTAAATAATAGAATATTATTCATCTCATATTCTTGGTGATCCATATACAGTGCTCAGCATACTTTTAGGATCCTGCTTATTCAGTTGTGGCCTAGTTAACACTATTGCTTACTTTAGTATTAGTTGAGGAATGCAACTGCTAAAGGCAAACTATAATGCTTTGGGTGACTTTACATTTTTAAGGTTTTAAGTTTCCGTTTAAACTGATGTTTTCTACCTTTTTTTAAATATATATATTTTAAATGTTTGTCTTACACATGCATATTTGAAGAGACCTTCTAACCTTTCTTATTCAGAGCAAAATGACAGGGTGTCCGTAAAGCTCACCCCCAACCTAGTTATATTCACCTTCATAGTGCTACCCTGTCACTCCTTCTTCTGCTGCAACCTCCACTTAATACTGGGGGTCTGCTAGAGTGGAAGCTTGGAGAAAGCAATGGCATTATCCCTTCCTTCATGTATTCTCATACCTAGTAAATGGTAGCTAGACCAAAGCACTACATCATTAGAGGGGGTCACATGCTCCCCCATACCTGGAAACTACTGGAATTTTGCAGCAACTGATGCCAATGAAGGAGCACTGTGAAGTTCAAGGGGGGGGGGGGGGCG